GTTTGTCTGCCCCCCCCCCACCCCCCCAGACAAGCCCCAGCCCCCCAAGAGGGATGGGCTGGCCAGCAGCAGAGCCAGCATCACGGTCCAGGACATCCTCGCCGCTTCCCGGTGGCAGCCAGTGCCCCAGCATGGCTACAAGTGCGTGTCGTGCTGCCGTGTCTTCCCCACGCTGTGGTCGATCAAGAGCCACATCCAGCACAGCGCCCAGGAGGGCTACAGCTGCAAGGTGCACTACCGCAGGCTCAAGGCCCTGTGGGAGAGGGAGCGCAAGGGGCAGGAGGCTGCAGCCCCCCGGTTGCTCGTGTTGCCCCGCCAGCTGGGCAGCGCCGCAGGAGAGAGAGCACGGCTCCATCCCCCCTGCCAGCAGCAGCATAAAGTGTAGGAGTGGCCGGCCCCGTCTGCCTGCTGCTCTTGCCTACACAATGCTTCCACCGTTTTCGAAAGGCTCTTGCTGATTTTTTCCTTCCCTAGCAGCCAACAATCTGCCGAGCCTCTGCAAGTGCTGCTCAGCACCTCTGCACCTCGGTGGGGAGCTCTGCAGACGCCGGGAACCCCCCAGCACCCTCGAGCTGTTGGGTCAGCCCTGAGATGAGCCTGTGCTGTGCAGAGGCTGCAGGGGAAGGCTGAAGCCCCTCCACCCCACCAACATTCAGGGCACCTCGCTCTCACGGGCGGCCCGTGGCCAGCACTGCAAGCAAGGGTCCCGCAGGGGACGATGCTTAGGTTGGAGGGGGTCTGTGCAAAGGCAGGGGATGCCACCGCCGGTGCTGGCTCCCAGCAGGGAGGGGGAGAGGAGCACAGAAAGAGAGAGAGTCAGTGAGAAGGAAGAGACAACAGAAAGCCTTGAGAAATAGAAAGATTTATTTAGCAAAAGCCAGTCGACTAATGACAACACCCAAGGGTTAAGTGCACTTACATTGACAGATTGGTTTCCCAGATAGAGTCAACAGTTAGTAACGCGACAGTTGTAGGAAAAGAAAGGACAAAAAATATAGCTATAAAACCCCAGCCAAGGTCCATAACAAAAGTGCGAGGCTAGAGAGGTGTCTCGGAGGCAGCGCC